TGTCTATAAAGCATTTAACCCCCCTGTACACAACTCACTCCTTTTAAAGAAAAAAATTGAAATGTAAAAAAAAAAAAAAAAAACTCAAAACTTCTGAGGGCATGTATTAAGCACTCACAAATTATCTGTTATTATTAGCTATTATTTTAATAACTTAGGACTGATCAAATTTAAGAAAACAACTGATAATTTCAGCAAAAATGCTGCCCAAAATGAGAAGTGACTCATTGGCAGAGTCTACTGGGGAAAGCCCGGGCCAGGAAATCAGTGCCCAAGTGCTATCTAGACCACCAACAAGCTGTGTGACCTTGACTAGGCAAGTCACTTTTTCTCTATAATACATAGCCTCCTAAATGCAAATGAGGAATTAACAGTAATTTATAATTTCTACCACTGAGTTCTCCAACCAAAGGCTCTTAAAAGGTTCTTGTATTCACTTCACACCCATAAGAATGGCTATTAATTAAAAAAAAACAAACAGAAAATAACAAGTATTGAAAACCAGGTGAGAATGTAAAATGGCTCAGCTGCTACAAAAAATGGTAAGGTCATATCTCAAAGAATTAAACACAGAATTACCATATGATCCAGCAATTCGACTGCTGGGTACATATCCAAAAGGACTCAAGGTAGTAAGTCTACTGATATTTGTACAACTATATTCACAGCAGCCAAAAGGCAGAAGTAACCCGAGGATTCATCAACAGATGTATGGGTAAATAAGATGTGGTATATACCTACCAGGAAATATAGGGAAGGGAATTCTGACCCATGCTACAACATGGATGAACTTTTGAACTTTTCAGGCTTTATGCTAAATGAAACAACCCAGTCACAAAAGAACAAATATATGCGAGTCCACACATACGGGGTACCTATAGGAGTCAAGTAAAAAGACAGGACAGGTGGTTGCTAGGGCTGGCAGGCAGAAGGGATGGGGCATTACTGATGTTTAATATTAGTTTCAGTTTGGGAAGATGAAAAAGATCTGGAGGTGGAGGGTGTGATGGTTGCACAACATGAATATACTTAATGCCACAGAACTGTCCACTTAAAAATACTTAAATGATAAATTTTATGTTATGTATACTTTAGCACAATTTTTTAAAAAGGTTCTTGTATTGATTATCCTACTATACTGCTCTCGAGAGTTATCAGAGGACACTAATAACAGTGGCTTTCAAAACGTGACCAAGAAGCCGGGCGTTGTGGCAGGCACCTGCAGAACCAGCTACTCGGGAGGCTGAGGCAAGAGAATTGCCTAAAGCCCAAGAGTGGGAGGTTGCTGTGAGCTGTGATGCCACAGCACTTTACTGAGGGTGACAAAGTGAGACTCTATCTCTTAAAAAAAAAAAAAAAAAATGTGGCCAAGGCCATATTGCCATCAAAAGATACGCCCTTTCCTTGAAAGAGCAAATTTCTAAAAACATTTTAGAAGAGAAAGCAACTGAATCGGCTACTGGGGAGTGGTGACAGTCAGATAAATACCATAAAGGGGCTTTCAAACAAAGTGTCCTCTCACTATGAAACTGCTCAGAGTACGCGGTAGGTTCTCCAATATCTACTGATGATGAACGATTACTAGATTAAACCAAACACACCTTGAACATTACCAACCAACAAGACCTTCGTGGTCTGGCTCCTGCTTATTTCTCCCATCTCACCTCACTCACCCTGATGCTAGCCTTGCTCTCGGCTCTCCTTCTCTTCATCTGTGTCACCCAGAATTTACTTCAGTTCTTCACTCTCCTCTGGCTTCCTTCTGCCTCCCCCACTCTCCCATCTTCTCATCCCTGAGAGCTCAGCTCTAATATCACTTCCAGGGAGCCTTCCAGTCTCAGTCAGAAATACTCATCAAGGGGCGTAGGGAGGGGGATGGGTGTGCTCCCACTTAATGGGCACAGCGTAAGGGTATATGGCACACCTTTGGGTGCAGGACACAACTACAGTAAGGACTCTACCTAACAATGCAAACATTGTAAGCTAGTTGTTTGTACCCCTACATTAACCTGAAATTAAAAAAAAAAAAAAGGAAACACTCATCATACTGTATGCTTTCCCTTACGATTCTACATATATGGCTAATTATACGAATAATATCAGTCTTCCCCATGAATTTCAGGTTGCTTCATCTCCGGCATCTAACAAAGGGCCTCATGCTTAGGAATCATTTTTTTTTCTTTTCGAGGCAGAGTCTCACTATGTCGCCCTCAGTAGAGCATTATGGTGTCACAGTTCACAGCAACCTCTAACTCTTGGGCTTAAGCAATTCTCTTGCCTCCGCCTCCCAACTATTTTTGTTATTGTTGTTGTTGCAGTTGTTGTTTAGCAGGCCCAGGCCGGGTTCGAACCCACCAACCACAGTGTATGTGGCCGGCGCCCTAACCACTGAACTATGGGCACCAAGCCCTTAGGAAATCATTTTTAAAATGAGTAACCTCATAAACAGTTCTTCGGCTTTCCAAGAATGACTCCAAAAGTCTGTATCAGAAAGAATCTAAACAAAAATAGAAAGAAAGCCCATTCTGAAAGCACACCTGAAGGAGGCAGGAGTTTGTCATGGCTCGATAGCAGGCTCTGTGGCTCTTCACTGTGGGCCGCTCCCCAAGGCAGTAGCCCCACTTCTTGACCATGTGAAACCGCTTGGCGTGCCAGATGTGAGTTTCTAACCATTTGTTCTTCCTTTGTCTCCGGTTAAATTCTAGAATCCGATTCATGTGACATCTTCGAGCTTTATGGCACTTAGTTTTTGAATGTTCTTTCTTCTGATGGACAGTTTTTTCTGCCTATAGTTTCAAGAAGAGAGAGAGAGATTCCAGTTTGTGAGAATCACAAAACAAAGTGACCTTAGGAATGTAAACAAGATTTAGAGAAATACGTTATCAGTTTGCTTAATTTTCTAACTTGGTGGTTCCTCTAATGTAAGTAGAGAAGGGAGACAATACAAAGAGCTGAAGTGTTAGAGACAGGCAGACCTGTCTATCACTCAGTACACAGACAAGTCGTAGAGACTATGAAGATTAGGACACCCATGAAATGTCCAACACAAGTTTCATGTAACTATTAATATTAAGGAGCAAGAGAGAATAAATCAAATGTTAGCTTCTAGCTGATGTACTAAGATGTTGAGACTGTAATGAAACAAAAAACGTACGACCAAAAACACAAAAGTGGGGAAAACCTAAACTTTCATTTCAGTTAAGCTACAAAGGCTAAATGCTGTCGCTGAGAAACAGACCTTACATTAATTCTACAAAGTATTATATTCCTAGTGAGTTTTCACTCTTAATCTCTTCCACAACCTAGCTCAACTTTTATGAAAAAAAAATTATTCTTCATTGGTTTGTGAAGCCCTTAAGGACAAGGATTTTCCTTGCTGAACTCCAACCCCACCACCAGTGTAGTACTGGTACACAGAAAGCCACTCAATAGATTTTAAATCAATTAGTAAAGACATGGGTGGCTTAAAAAATCTTAGAACAATCGAGTCCAGAATTTTGGTAAAGTACAATTAAATGTGTACAAAGATCAAAACCAAGTCCAAGTTTTCTTTTTTTTGAGACAGAGTCTATGTCATCCTCAGTAGAGTGCTGTGGCTTCACAGTTCACAGCAACCTCAAACTCTTGCGCTTAAGTGATTCTCTTCCCTCAGCCCCCCAAGTAGTTAGGACTACAAGCCCCCACCACAATGCCCGGCTATTTTTTGTTGCAGTTGTTGTTGTTTAGCTGGCCTAGGACGGGCTAAAACCCACCAGCCTCAGTGTGTGTGGCTGGCACCCTATTCACTGAGCTATGGGCACCAAGCCAAGTCCAGGTTTTCAACTTGGAAATAGTCAAAAAACAAATGCTAAGCACTGATGCTTACCTAAGTAGGCCACACCCCAAAACACAGATCTAAAACTATTTAATCTGGTGAGAGGCTCAGAATTTTTTTAATGTGTGAGAGGAATATCAACTATTCAACACCCTTAAAATACAGGGTTTCCAAATGCTAAATTTCAAAGCAGCTGTAATGTCCAAAGTCCTGCTAACTTGGCCTGGGGAGAAATGGAGGGTTGGATAATGATTAAAAAAAGATGCAAAAAAAAAAAAAAGCATGCCACAATAAGCAATGTTGTTTTCTGGTTTTCGTTTTAATAAATTCTATTAAGTCAATACTTCTCAATTTTTTTCTAGCAAACATTTATACTACATGAAACTTCTACCTCTTTCTGGGCGATCTCCTGTAATCGTCTAGGAAGGCGTTTGACATTGTGGCTCATGGCTCTCCGTCGCATGTGCCGTGGCAGAGTCTGGAAAACCAGTGAATTAGAAGACTTCTGGGTTACAGCTTTTAACATAGCACTGATCTCGGCAGCTCGTGCTTGAGCAAAAGTAGAAGCTGTTGAAGGAAAGGACAATGTCATGGAAAACTAATCTGACATCAACAAGACTTGCTTTTCTGGGATTACAGAAGGAAGACAGACTTGAAATAAGTGAGCTTACAATTCATCTACCATTAACCCTCTGTTAGCTGAACACTGCTAGTGGTTATTTCTGTTATACCATTTTGAGATTATTTTTCTTCAACTTTTATATTTCTCAAATTTTCTACAAGGATTCAGTTTCACTTTTCTAATCAGAAGAAATGTTTAAAAACAAGTTTTACAGAGATTTTAAAAACACAGGTCTACATGGAGTACAGTACCTGCAATATATATACATGCAATATAATCACAGCGATTTGTAGGTAATAATCACACAGAAAAACAAAGAAGAGACAAAATTTTAACAGTGGTTCTAAGAGGTTTTTTTCTTAATGTTTTCTGCTTTTTCCAAATATGTGACCGTATTATTATTCTTTATTGAAAACTAGACTTTTCTTGAAGAGTAAACAGGGTGCTGAGGAAATTTAAGTAAATTCCTCCAAGAAGGCATATAGACCAGAAGACATGTCTAAGGTGTCTACAATGAATATGGGGTTTAATGTGCTAGCAGAGGTGGAGGTGTTGGGGGAAAATAGGAGATGAAGCTGGAAAGGGCCTGGAGACAAGCTAAATAAAGGTGTTGGTTGCTGTTAAAGTGTACTGAATTTTAGTCCATTTTTGGAGAATGCCATGCTGAGTGTGGACACCACATTTAAAGGGTGGAGGGAGGAGGTTGGGAAGAGGAACAATTCACAAAGACTTACAAGAAGATGGCTAAGAGAAAGGGATATTGAAGAAGGGAGAGCCATCAGGCCCAAAAAAGCTATGGCCAAAGTCCAGGCTAGAGGTGAGAAGGGCCCCCGGTGGAAGGATTAGAGGAGAGAGGCGGGGAGGCAGAGCCAAAACGCAGAAGCAGGCAATTTCTTGGCATATCTGGCTGTACTAGAAACAAAGGGCCCCTAATGTAATCCAGCGTCACTTCTTTACCAATACCTACCAGTTATATACTTGGGAATCTCCTGAGAAGTGCCATCGGGACCTGCTTTCCAGCCTCCTTTTTTCTTAAACATTACTTTGGAGGAAGACTGCTCACTCACATTTGGCTCAGGCAATGAATGGGTAGGAATTCTGGTTTGCCGCTGTCCTGAAGTTCCAGAATGAGGCTCTAGTGTATTTTCAAAAGGAAAACAAAAAGAAATATGTCACTCTTATCAGAGATAAAAATCATAGTGGAGAACTAACATTTGTTGGATGGCAACTGATCATGTTTTTAGTCCTATAACCACCCATTAACATAACTATCAACAGGTAGGGAAGTTCCCCCATCCAAGTACTAACCAGGCCTGATCCTGCTTAGCTTCTGATATCAGACAAGATCAGGCACATTCAGAGTGGTAAGGCCATAGACTCAGGCAGGGAAGTACATTAACTTGCCAAAGGTCATAAAGCTAGCAGATAGCATGCTAAGTAATCATTTCAGTACGACATATAAAGAACTTTGAATATAACAGATATAGGTGAAATTTTCTCTGTATAAATATTATAACATGAATTTTAAATCTAAGCTCCCTGCTATGGTCTAAAGCTGTGGTTCTCAACCTTCCTAATGCCATGGCCCTTTAATACAGTTCCTGTGGGTCACGACCCACAGGTTGAGAACCACTAGTCTAAAGGTTTGTGTCCCCACCAAATTCCTATGTTGAAATCCTAACCCCTGAGGTGATGGTATTAGGAGGTGGGGCCTTTGAGAGATGATTAAGTCACAAGGGCAGAGAGCCCTCATGAATGAGGTTAGTGCCCTTATAAAAGAGGCCCCATAGAGACCCTCACTCCTTCCCACTATGTGCAGACCCAGCAAGAGTGTGCTATGAACCATAACGCAGGCCCTCAAAAGACCCCAATCCTGCCAGCTCCTTGATCTTGGGACTTTTCAGAAACCAGAAACATGAGAAACAATTTTCTTTCTTTCTTTCTTTCTTTTTGAGACAGAGTCTCACTATGTCACCCTGGGCAGAATGCTGTGGCATCACAGCTCACAGCAACCTCAAACTCTTGGGCCCAAGAGATTCTCTTGCCTCAGCCTCCCAAGTAGCTGGGACTGCAGGCGCCCACCACAATGCCTGGTTATTTTTTTGTTCCAGTTGTCGCTATTGTTTAGCAGGCCAGAGCCAGGTTCAAACCCACCAGCCTGGGTGTATGTGGCTGGTGCCCTACCCACTGAGCTAAAGGCACCGCCTAAAAGAAATAATTTTCTGTTATTTATAGTCTACCCAGTTTATGATATAGGTTGAGTATCCCTTAACGTGGTATCCCTTAAATGCTTGGTACCAGAAGTGTTTCAGATTCCAGATTTTTCTGAATTTTAGACTATTTACAGATACATAATGAGATACCTTAGAGATGACACCCAATTCTAAACATGAAATTCAGCTATGTTTTATACACTCCTTAGGGGTGTGTGTGTGTATATATATATATACACTTTCATAGCTATAAGTATATACTTTCATATATACCTTCATAACCTGAAGGTAATTTTATACAATCTCTTAAATAATTTTGTGCTTGAAACAAAATTTGTGTACACTGAACCACTAGAAAGCAAAGGTGTCCCTATCTTAACCACCCATGTGGATCATCTTTGGCATCATTATGAGGCCTAGACTAAGGTGGAAAAATACCAGTTAACTCCTGGCAAATCTCTGGGCTGCAAGCCCTTGACAAAATGGAATAAGTCTGGTTCACTCTCAAGATAGATGGGAAAGTACTCACTGACTTCTTGCTTGACTAACTCCCTGAGAAATGGACCAGGAGGTACCAACTGTCCCCGGACTGACCCTTAAGAAATACCAGGAGGGGCTCAGCACTTGTAGCTCAAGTGGCTAAGGGGCCAGCCACATACACCAGAGCTGGTAGGTTCGAATCCATCCTGGGCATGCCAAACAACAATGACAACCATAACCAAAAAATAACTAGGTAGCACTCTACCCAGGGCAACATCCTGAGATTCCGTCTCAAAAAAAAAGAAATCCCAGGTGGAAAAGTACTGAAACAAAGATGTATGACTAATTAACCGCTAAATTCTGCTTCTGTGCAATGCTTACTAACCTACTGGGATGCAGCTGGGCAGCTTGCATGCCAACCAGGATGCAGACCAAGCCTTAAAAACCTACCCCTTAAGCACTCAGGGCTGCTCTCTGAACCTCTGTGTTGGGTGTGAGGCAGTTGTCAGCCAGCTCTGCTATGAATTCGGCTTGTTTGGGAGTGTGGTCTTTATGGAACTCCTAGGCATAACATCATCATCATTCCTGATTCTGAATTTATATGCTCCTGATCAGCCATCATTTTCTTACACTTATTCACACATAAGTACCTAATAAAAAATACCTACCATTGAGGCCTCCAGCATGCACAATGCCTTTTATTATCTTTTGTGAGTGTGCTCACTGGATAAACCACAGCAGAAGAGGATTGGCAGCTTTTCTTTTCCCTTGAGAATGCTGAATAAACTGTACACACCTTTGTTTTGACTGTGATCTATCACATGAAGGACTTTGGCATTAGGGATGGATGCTCAGCCCACACTTTTTACAGCCGTCCAAATGACACTCCTTTAAATACTATAATCCACATGGTTTTGTACATTCAGTCTAATTCTAATTCAGTCTAATTCCTGATATACTCATAGTTGAAGCCACTATGCTAAATTAAAGAAGGAATTAAAAACAGTCTCTACACAAACATCTGGGCATTCAAACCATTCTGACTCAAAGACAACATCAAATCTCTATCTATGAACAAAGGTAGAGTCCAGCAGAGAATTCTATAGTGTTCCTGCTTATTTCCACTGTGGTGCTAGAACAGGAAGGCAGCAGGGAACCTCCGCGAGGGCTGTGAGCAGCCCTGCCCTCCACAGGGTGACTGTGCATTCTTCTTGCTCTGTGCATGTCCACAAATAACCACCAAATCTCATGGGTACTGACTTTGGGGTTACAAATAAACTTTAGCAAGTAGGCAAATTTGCAAATAGGAAATTCAGTACTGTATCTGTTTTTAATTCAGTTCATTTACTACTAGACAATGACTGTCAAGAGAAGTTGACAAAAGCAAGAGGATCAACACAGCAGTGGAGCAAGCACTGTGTTCACTTACCTTGCTTCTGAGGTTTCTGACCTTCATTATGGTGCTTTCCACCTCTATCAGTCACAAAGCCAGAGGATAAAGTCACATTGGTAGGCTGGTTTCTCATTTTCTTAGCATGTTTTCTTTCTTTTGCATTAGACATTTCTGGAAAAGAAGTCATAAATGTAACACAGGGAAAAGAAACTTCCATTCAAAAATAAAAATAAATTTAATAAATAAGTTTTCATGTGACTCAACATTAGATCCTATTAGTACATTCCAGTTTGCACTGGCAAATAAATCAGTTCAAATGTTGTCACTATATAAAGTCTATTAGAAGAATGAAAAATAAGGTGAGATAAGATTGTTATGAAGAGGCTCAGCGCCTGTAGCTCAGCAGCTGGGGCGCCAGCCACATACACCAAAGCTGGCGGGTTCAAACACAGACCTGGCCCGCCAAAACAGTAACTACAATAAAAAGACCGTTAATGAGGGTAAAACAAATTTTTAATTAAAAAAATTAAACAAAATTTATATTTTATCTTGATTCTTAGGTGAAATAAGAGCTACCTTGATTAACAAAACACAAAACACCCTACTCCCAAAGGATAACCTCTATAAAAACTGAACATAAATTAATGATGATTTCGTTTCTACTCCCAAGATGAGACCAGTTACACCTTTTTTTTCCCGAGTCTCACTCTGTCGCCCTGGCTAGAGTGCAATGGCATCATCATAGCTCACAGCAACCTCAAACTCCTCGGCTTTAAGTGATCCTCCTGCCTCAGCCTCCACGCTCTCAACACTGCAAGCTATTTTTAGAAAAGTTATCCAGGTCTCAAACTCCTAAGCTCAAGTGATCCTCCTGCCCCAGCCTCTCGAGTAGGATTATAGGTGTGATCCACCAAACTCAGCCATTAGGCGAGTTATATCTTGTTTTTGTTTTTACATAGTCAGAGTTCAATGACCTATATCTTTAATTTATAATAGCAAGACAAGCCAGCTCTGTGGCTTAGTCAGTGTAGTATAATAGCAAGACAATGATTCCTATTTGAAGAAGAAAAAAAAAAAAAACAAAAACTCTACTGGAGCCTCGCTGATTCACTCAGTAGTTAGCAACTCTCAAATGCAACACTCCTTTTTTTGACTGATTCAAAATCAGTTAAGCCCAGGAAAATCCAGAAGTAGCCTGATTCCTAACTCTTTTACACAAAAGTATTGGTTATGGGGTGGGCATAGTGGCTCATACCTGAAATCCCAGCATTTGGGGAGGCTGAGGTGGGAGGCTCAGTTGAAACCAGGAGTTCAAGACCAGCCTAAGCATGTTTTCTATTTTTAAATGAGATTAATACAGCCTATTAAGACACATAACTTTTACCAATATACACCTTATAATGTATGTCCTATCTGTAACATAAAGGAGAACTAAAAAGTAATTTTAATAAAATAACATATCAATGTATTTCTGTATATAACTATTTTGCCACAACTATACTAGATGACATGATGAAAAAGAGATTTGGAACGCAGGAGATAATCTCACCAACACAGGCACCAGCACACTCACTGGCACAATCCATAAAGCTGGAGAAGGGAAGGATCCCCCACTCCTGCCCTGTCCAACGGTCATTAGCTCTTTCATTGCTAACTATAGGGAGGTCTGAGGGTCCTGAATGGAGACACATAAAGTATGGAAGCCCAGAGTAACAGGCATTACCAAGCTGTTCTCAAAGTATTTCAGCATTTTAACACTACTCTTTACTTCTACCTAGATAGAATTACCACAAATGCAATAGCTCAAAAGGCAAAGCAAATACAGGTGTCTTGTACTAGTGCCTCAAAGAGAAAATAACAATGCTGCTGGTGATGTCATTTCCACACTGGTGAACACTCCTTGATAAGGTACACCCTGCCCACACTAAGAAAAAAAGTACAAACCTATTCTGATTTATTGCATTCCTGAAAAATTCAGTATATATTAAAACTACAACCAATACTTTTTTTTTTTTTTTTAAGAGATAAAGTCACACACTCTGTTGCCCAGGGTAGAATGGAGTGACATGATCAGAGCACACTGCGGTCTCAAATTCCTGGGCTCACCCTCCCAAGTAGTTAGGAGTATTTGGCCTGTGCCACTATGCCTGGATAATTTTTTTATTTTTATTTTTTATCTTTTGTAGAGAGAGAGTCTGGCTATATTGCTCAAGCTGGTCTTGAACTGATCCTCCCACCTCAACCTCCCTGGGATGACATGAGCCACAGTGCCCACCCCACAGCCAACCCTTTTATGGAAAAAGTTAGGAACTGGGCTACTATTGGACTTTCCTGCACTTGGCAGGCTGTATAACATCCCTGAGCCCTGCCCAATAAATGCTAGCAATATTAGACCAATCATCATGCCAACCAGAACATCTATACAAACTTCCAAAATGCCACATCAGGATTTGCTAGCTGTCACTGAGAGCCATTAAATTAATAATCACCCATTCACTTAGCTCCTTTTCCAAGACCTCATACAAAGTTAAGAGCCTGTGTGATGTAGTGTTTAAAAGCCTTTACTCTGGCCAGGCATGGTGGTTCATGCCTGTAATCCTTGCACTCTGGGAGGCCGAACCGGGTAGACTGCTTGAACTCATGAGTTCAAGACCAGCCTGAGCAAAAAGCTAGACCCCCATCTCTACTAAAAACAGAAAACCTGAGGCAAGAGGATCGCTTGAGCCCACGAGTTGGAAGTTGCTGTGAGCTATGATGCCATAGCACTCTACCCACAGTGACAACAGCTTGAGACTCTGTCTCACACAAAACAAACAAACAAACAAAAAACCCTTCACTCTGGAGTTAGAAAGACCTGAATTAAAATTCCTTCCTTTCTCTTTTTAGTCATATAATCTCAGAAAAATTATTTTCCTTCTCTGAGCTTCAGTCTCTTCCTCTGTGGCTGCTATGAGAATTAAATAAACATTAGATACTATATACACATACTATATGAGGTTCTGGATTTATCAAACACATGTACACATGTCATTTAGCATGGAGCTCTACACAAACTACTCAGTTCATGATAGCTATTATTCTTTTTTTTAAACAGTAGCCTTTTATTTTTAATACCTATTATGCCATGAATTCATAGGGAAAAGGTTCCAGCAGCTCAGGGAGGCGCCTTTCCATTGAATGTGACAAAGCCTGCTATGCCTATTATGCCATGAATTCATGGGGAATAGGTTCCAGCACCTTATATTCCTGTTCCATTGGTTCTCTTGGTTCTCCTGTGTGGTATGCTGTACACCTAATTATGCCATGAATTCGTAGGGAATGAGTTCCAGGAGCTCAGGCTCCTTTCCATTGGTTCTCACAAAGTGGGCTTCTCTGGGTAGAGTAGGCTGGTGCTTCAGGTGAACCCGGGTACCTTTCTCTTTGGCTTCCTTCTTTTTCTGATCACGTTCCCTTAGCATTTTAGGAAGCTATCTCAGCTCTTTAGAGTGTTTAATATGCTCGATATGAACATTAATCCTCTTGGCAAGAATCTTGCCCTTAACTTGTCTGTTTACAACAATGCCAATAGCATATGATAACAATGTAGACTCTTCCAGTTTTGCCATGATAACATTTGTATGGCATGTCTTTTTTAACATTCCCCATTCCCTTAATATTTACAATATCACCTTTCCTGTAGATTCACATATGTGCAGCCAAAGGAACAAGTCCATGTTTTCTAAAAGGCCTAGAGAACATGTATCAGGTGCCTCTCCTCTTTCCCTTTGTGTTTGTCATTTTGGTGAATTACAGGAAGATGGCATCTCTGGCCGAAAGGGATGATAGATATTATTCTTAAATAATAAATGAAATAGACAGGGATTTATATGACTTCAGTGCCTCACTCCACTCTGCTTTCACCTAAATGAAAGACAACTATATATACACCCAAAAACATTTTTCAAATTAAACAATAAATCAGAAGTAAACAGATTTCTGTAAAACGGTTAGCTAGTGAAGTGCATGATTCAGATAAGGTTGCATTAAGAACCACTCAAAATATTTTACAAAACAATGAGTCCTTCTACTGTTACCTCCTTGAATCAGAATTTACCCAGCAAGACAAAGCATGACCATGGGAACCCTAACTCTACTCAGGATAAGAATGAACCAAGAGCAGACTGGTGCTAGAGGATTAGGGCAAACTTGGGAACATCTCTGAGCTTTGATTCTAGGCTAAAAAATCAGGAGATTGAACCAGCAGTGGTCTCCAAACAATCTAACAGCAGAAGAGAAAAATACAGAATGCACCCTTATGAAGTCTGAGAATTTACCTTAAAAGAGCTTCCAGAAGGAATCTAAACTCTTACCTTAACATTTAAGTCAATTTTATATCTACTCCTAATAGTATAGTTCGTGGTTGTTTTCAGATTCATTCCTTTGGTCAAACTTTAATGAGAACTAAAGATGTACCAGGCTTTATAAAAATGTTCCCCCTCATCTTCAAATAAAATGAATGTCATGTTTTCTCATCCAGCTTAGTTTCCTCTGGGTGACCAGAAATACTCCACAGTATACTGGACTTCAGTCTGAGAACCCCTGTAAGTTGACCACCCAAAGGACTATATAACAAACTGATCAACATCCAGAGATGGTCTACATAAGGCATTCCTGGAGCATTACAAATAATACTATGATCTATGAAAATTAAGAAGGTGATCAATGTAGGGAGGTGGTTAACTATGGAGGTTTTACTGTAAATGATTTCGGTCTTCTTCCACAACTAAAAAAGTTGGTGATTCAGACTTGATATAAAATCTGTCTTAAGAATAAAGGTAGGCTCTGTACCTATGGCTCAACTGGCTAAGGCGCCAGCCACGTACACCTAAGGTGGCAGGTTCGAATCCCCAGCCCGGACCCACCAAACAACGATGGCTGCAACCAAAAAATAGCCAGGCGTTGTGGCGGGTGCCTGTGGTCCCAGCTACTTGGGAGGCAGAGGCAGGAGACTCGCTTCAGCCCAGGAATTGGAGGTTGCTGTGAGCTGTAATGCCACGGCACTCTGCCCAGGGGGACAGCTTGAGGCTCTGTCTCAAAAAAAAAAAAAAAAAAAAAGAATAAAGGTAACTTATTTCACATGGAATATTTTATACAAGTTGAATTATTTGTAATGCTGCAAGAAAGCTCCTTATTTAAAGAATCATAT